GTGGCTCACACTTGTAATCCCAGCACTTTGGGAGGCTCAGGCAGGTGGATCACCTGAGGCTGGGCGTTTGAGACCAACCTGACCAACATGGAGAAACTCCGTCTCTACTAAAAATACAAAAATATGGGTGTGGAAGTGCACGCCTGTAATCCCAGCTACCCAGGAGGCTGAGGCAGGAGAATTGCTTGAACCCAGAAGGTGGAGGTTGTGGAGCCGAGATTGTGCCATCGCACTCCAGCGTGGGCAAAAAGAGCGAAACTCCATCTCAAAAAAGATTGCCTTTCACCATATCTCCAAATCCTAACCTTTTCATGTCTGTGGTATAGGTGACAGCTTACTGATCTTAACAGCAGTTTTCAGAAACTCCTTTGTAAATTCTGTATGTGGCAGGTATTTTCCCTAGAGGTTTGAACTTAACTTCCGAGTGCTATGACAGTTGTGCAGGATCAGGTGATGTGTGCAGGACAAGAGCAGGTAGTATGGGTGGTGGAAGAAGCTGAGAAACTTTGGCTGCCGTCTCTTTTCTAAATCGGGGGTTCTGTGGCACTTTCTTAGCGTATGACTTTGGGAAAAGTGTTTCACTTCCCCAAGCCTGTTTCTCTGGGTGCAAAATACCCCGCCTGCCCAGCAGGTGCTCTGAAAGTATTGAGATAATGGATGAGGTGCGTGCTCCACAAATGCATTAATTCCTCTGTCCCTTTCTACCCCAGAGCCTGTGTCCCTTCTCCAGGTCCTGATCAAGTCATCGTCCATCACACCAGACTGTCGAAAAATTACCCAGGAGGGCAGGGGTCCAAGGGCCACAGAGGACCTGAATGTGACCTGGAAAAGCCAGGTCCTCCCTAGAGAGTTAGGCCAGAGGGGGACACCAGGACCAGCCCCCAACCCCCGGACCCTGGCTGTGAGCCTACCCCTAAGCTAGCACAATGCCAGCCTCACGTGTATGATCAGCAACCACGTGGACCAGAACACTACCACCTCAGACCTTAGGGGAAGTGTGTTGAACTCAATAAATTCTCTAGCAAGGACAATGTTCTAGTTCTGGGGACACCCTTTTCCCAGAAGTTTGAGGGTAGAGTGAGATGTCACTCACCATTCCCACGAAATGTGATATCTAACCTTCCCAGCTCCTGGGACAATAACATGTAGGAAGACAGAGACAGTAAAAGTTGGCATTTACCTAGGAAATTATGGAGAAGGGCTAGAAGGCAGAAATCAGGGCTTTTAAGAAAGAAACAGAATCGGTATGTCAGGATTAATGTTTATTCCTG